AATACCCAGAAGGGACTATATAGACCTACTAGACTACCTTTTGGCGTTTCCAGCGCGAGTGCAATTTTCCAGTCTAAGATTGAGCAAGTATTGCAAGCAATGCCAATGATCGTTTGCCGAGTGGATGATATTTTAATATCAGGCAAAAACGACCAAGAGCACATAAGTAATCTCAACGAGGTGTTGACGAGGCTGAAAAACGCAGGCTTAAGATTGAAGCTAAGCAAATGTAAATTCATGCAACCATCAGTTGAGTATCTAGGATAAGGAGTCGATGCAAGCGGGTTGCACGCGATTGAGAAGGAAGTTCAGGTAATTCGTGACGCGCCAGCTCCTGAAAATCAGCAGCAACTTCGATCATTTCTTGGGATGGTTAACTACTATTCAAAATTCATAAGCAATTATTCAATGGTAACGCATCCATTGAATGAACTATTGCGTGACGGGATTAAATGGAAGTGGTCGAAATCGGAAGAGGACGCATTCGCAAAGCTTAAAGAGAAATTAGCGAAAGCCCCAGTTTTGGTGCATTATCAGAATAATTTGCTTCTTAAGATACTGACGCATCGCAATATGGTGTAGGAGCGGTAATTTCACACGTGTTTCCGAACGGCGAGGAGAAACCAATCGCATTCGCTTCGCGCACGTTGAACAAGAGTGAGAGAAATTATGCGCAAATCGAGAAAGAAGCCCTTAGTATAGTCTCTGAAATTAGGAAATTTCATCAATATCTATACGGACGCAAATTTTTGTTGGTAACCGATCACAAGCCTTTAGTGACGTTGCTAGGTCCGAAAAGCGGTATTCCAACTCTAGCTGCCGCGAGACTGCAGAGATGGGCAATCTTGTTGTCGGCATATCAGTACGAGATCGAGTATCGTTCAACGCTGAAACACGCGAACGCAGACTGTTTAAGCCGATTGCCGTTACCCGTTGGAAGCAAATCAGAGGAATTCGATGAAGTTAAGTTGATAAATTCCTTACAAATTGGATCTTTGCCATTAACCGCGGGTCAGATTCGAAAGGCTACACGTGCGGATCCTGTGTTGTCCAGAGTAGTTGAGTATACAATGACAGGATGGGCCGATGACGGAAATCCGACTATTCAAACGTATTATCAGAGACGGAATGAACTCACTGTAGAAGACGGTTGTTTGTTGTGGGGAATTCGTGTTATAATTCCGGGTTCGTTGCGAGAACGAGTTTTGCAGGAGTTGCATGAAGGGCATCCTGGAATTGTGCGAATGAAGTCACTCGCACGACTCCATGTTTGGTGGCCCAAATTAGATCAATCGATCGCTTCCGTTGTTCGCGATTGCGCTAAGTGCCAATCAAATCGCAAATCGCACCACTGCATCCGTGGGATTGGCCAGACACGCCCTGGTAGAGAATTCACATCGATTTCGCCGGTCCATTCGTGAATAAGATGTTTCTTGTAGTGGTCGTAGTCACTCCAAATGGCTAGAAGTGGAAATAATGCCTAGCGTGACCAGTGAGTCAACGATCGAGAAACTGAGAAATATGTTTGCTCGATACGGTGTACCGATGCAATTAGTGAGCGACAATAGTCCACAGTTTACTTCGCGAGAATTCGCAGATTTTATGAAACAAAACGGAATAAAACACACGCTGAAGGAAGTTTGTCAATAACGCAGAGCTTGGCGAGATTTCTATATTATTGTAAGTATATCCTGTAAGTAGGGAGTTGAATAAAGAAGTTGAATGAAGCAACTTGCCTCGTGTAGTTTTAGTCGTTAAGAACACGACACTTTGACCGACTTATTCCTTATACATGTCGACCTTCTACGCGATTGTAGATAATGATATGCTTCGTTTTATTCATTTAGATTGCAAATTACGGAATGGCAGGACAGTACGAATTTCATCATGACTTTGGAGTAAGTACTGATCACCATAATATTTAATAACAAATAAAAAAGAGAAGTTTTTTCTCGTACAGCCTAAAGTGGAAGAGAGTCTAGACATTTCGACACTAGACTACAAAGGTCTTCAGGGGATAAGGTACAAGAAGATTCTCAAAATGAACACTGAAAATAAGTCTTTATCTGCTTGCTTCCTATTTTTTTCTCCAGGATCCAGGTTCGCCTTTGGACTTGTCACCGAATGGAAATCGCGTCGCTACTGTGCTCATTTATGTAAGAATCTATTCTTATTTCAAAATGAAATTCACGTTCTCCGTCACCTTATTTTTCAGTATTACCTTAAATTGCGTATCTCACATGCATAAACAACTGTTGAACGAGTCGTCGACATTTCGAACGCTACACTACTGATCTTTTCTAGACGAAGAAGAAGGATTTCAATTACTTCTAACGTAAGAATATTAAACTTCCTGGCCTTATTTTCATCCTTTTTTCCTTTTCAACTTTCTTGAAATGCAGTTGAATGACGTTAGCAGGGGAGGTTACACAGTTTTTACGCGAGCGAAGACTTATATCAGCCCGACAATGGTGAGGAATTAAACACGAACGACAATTTTCTCCTTAAAAGAAATCTTTCATCTCTTTGAAAGTAATTTGTACCTGTTGGCTTATAGGGAGACGCAGCGTTTTGGTACAATCTTAAACGATCAGGAGAGGGAGATTATGAAACGGAGCATGCAGCTTGTCCAGTCCTCTGTGGAAATAAATGGGGTGAGTCTTTAGGGGGACTGGTGCCAGGTACCTAATTCTAGATTGGGTGGTTTTAAGTCCGTAAGCGGTTCCAAGTAGTTTGGGCTTCTTGTAAATGACGGCCGGTTTCAAAGAACTGTTCTAAAGAAATAGTTTGAAAAAGAGACAAGTGACAGGTGAACGCATAAAAATTGTCCGAAAGTATGAGAAAATGATTATCATTATCCTAGCCGAACTTCCTTTTAACTGTTCCCTAATCTTCCCCAAAGTGCACAGCGAGATTTATTCAAAGAGGTCAAAACCTGAGGATGAAACCCACTCACCACTTTCAGCTCACCCAAAAAAACTCACCCCCCACCCCTACCCCCTCCTCCCACGTTCACCCCTCAAATCTTCTCAGTCCACTCCTATCCAGTAACACTCAGTTCTTGGACAACATGGTCTTCCTTGTGATTCTTAAAGACTCTATGTTAATCTGGGTATATAATTCTGATCAAAATATGTTTTGGTTGTCTAGAAGCGATGTTTTTCCTTGTTTCCTCTTTAGTGGCCAACAAATGGTTACATATTCGAGGACAAGAATTCCGCCGCAAATGCAGTCTTAACTCCAAAGAATGAGGAAAAACCCTGATTACAACTGAAGCTTGGTTTTTGGTTTGTTCCTTTTTGAATCCCGACCCATTTGGTCTAAATGACTTCCTGTCGTAGGAAGTGAATTGCATGAGGAAATAAGCAAATTGAAATCATAGATAAGTTCTCATTGGTCCATACATCAAGAAATTGCCACTCGGTAACTAAATGAGTGAAACGAAACAAGCTTATGACTTCCGCTGGATTAATTACATCAGCACGTGCACGTAAATCCAAAATCACTTACTTATGTAATACGGCCACAGTGACATGTATTGTAAATGATATCACTGTTTTTAAAAGCACGAATAAAGTTTGATAAAATATAAAAAATAACTCCTCCTTAAGGATCGCTTTCGCGAGAGTTGCTGATAATGATAATTTAGTTGTTTTTACTATTTTTTACCCATGAGGGGACACAAATCGTCTGTACTGTAAGTATCCCGGAGAGTCCCCCACATTTTCTTAGACTTTTAGTCTAAGAAAATGTATGGGACTTTTTGAACGCTCCAGGCAGCTTTCCTGTAAGGTGTCATAATCCTGATGCTGCTGACATCGATGTGACAGATAATTGCTTTTGCACTGACCGGCTAATGATAATTTAGTTGTTTTTACTATTTTTTACCTTTTATTTATTTATTTTTTTCAATTTCCTCTTCTATTTGATTTTTTTCCTTTATTCCATTCCCGAAGCATGCAGAAAGAATGGCGACTGTTGTACCCCAAATGCTGCATGTGATCAATCGGAGCAACCGCGCACTTACCCCTTCCGTAACCCAACAAGAAAACCTGACTGGATATCAGTTGACTGTTGTTGGGTTACAGGCATTGATCCGAACACTCTACCGAACTAAAACATAACGGCGGATTCAAAGCGTTCGCAAAGATAAAAGAAGGTTCTGAAAGAAAAACTAGCTCCTTGCTATAACAGTTTTAACTACCCCACAGCACTGTTGATTTCAGATAAGAGGACTGGATTTTGGGTCCACATAGGATGACAAACCCCGTCACGTACGATAAAAAGCTAACAATTATGATTTTTTCCTGTTAAATTACTTCACCATTACTAACTCGAAAGAAACGATCAGCGATAAGTAATCAGACATTCCCGTCCTTCTATAAAGCGCGAAAAGCTGCGTTCGGCCGCGGCACTGGTTTCAGCCGACTGTGGCACGCGACGTTCAGTCTGCGGGCGCCGACGGTAATCTTGTCTCTTAGGTCGGCGCGTATTGTGCCGGCCGCCGTCTAGCTTCTAGTAAAACTGCGTACACGTGTCGGTGCATGAAATGTCGAGTATAAGGAGGTGGAATGGAGCTTTATGCATTATACACGTGTACTTTAGGGAAAAATGTAAATCATTTCGCACCTTGAAGAGGCTTGAAATAAAACATTAAAATTTGACGGAACCGAACTCTAATTTTTCTAGTCAATATCTAACTTTAATCCCTTTTTTAATCAGTTGAGGGACATCTTCAAAAACACCTCTCGATATTCCTTTTTTGAAGAAAAGATTTCGAACTGAGTCGTGTGGTTATAGATCTAGAGGAAAGAAAGAAACAAAAACTGGCACGAAAAGGTCTTTAAATTCAGCAGTGACAAACCATCGGCCGTCCTGCTTGTTCACCAATGAGGGGGCACTGGGGATAAGTGTACGAGACAGTAATCTCTATGAACAGCGGTCACATGGCAACGTTTCTCAGCATTCTGGGAATGCTTTAGAGTTGTTTAGCATACCAACGGAAAATAGCTGAAGGAAGTGATCTTGTATTGTCTTAGGGCCGCAAAAATCTTGTTAAATTCATCGCGATCTCTCGTAAAAAGATTTTAAAACGGAAACAAAGCAATGACACATCGAAATGAAACGATGATCTTTCGTGATCAGCGTGCTGATGACTGATATTAGACACAGAAAGAAAGGAAGTCGAGTTTTCGAGAACTATGTTATCGACTTGGACGATACCTACAGATCCAGGTTTTGATACAAGAAGACCTACAAACGAAGATCGATACAGTCCAGTGTACGCTGAAAGGCTACCAAAGGCTAGAGTAAAGCCTGAAGCACTTTCAAATGCGATAAAAAACCAGGGAACCCTGGCGCAGTTGTTTAATCCTTCGGCAAGACCTTACTCCGTCGGATCAAGACCAGGTGAATTTTAAGCTTACAATAATTTCATTAATCACGCCAGTTTAAAGGTGTGATCAGCATAGACTCGTTTTAGTATCACCTCCACATATAAACCAGTGTAAATTCATGCCCAAGCAAAACTTTATTGTGTGCAGAAAAGTAGTCATCTATCTTAGTTTCCTGCTTTCTTTGATGATTAATGTAGCTCTTGCCTGTAGTGTTTATTACAGTATTCAGTGAACGCTTGTGAATCAGTTTAGTTATTTCCTGATGTGCTTCGTGCTTCTGACAATCGTTTGTGGCAAAAGTGAGTGCTTGGACATTGCGTCCTAGTATTCAGGCCCTAACAAATTTTTGGCTGATAATAGATCGAAAAATACTACAGAATTACAAGCTTTAGATTAGCACATGTCATGTTTCTGATGTGTTATTTAAAAAATTTATAGGTGCTCTGAATTGTTTGATCTTTTATAAAAGCATACTTTCATCTCTGTTCTTAGCTTCAGCGCAAAACAAGAATTTTGCAAAAGAAAATGTCCATCGAATTAAAGAAATACAGAAAGCAAATCGTGAAAAACAGCGAGGGTCTACCCCAAGTGAACCAGTGAAGGCTGTTTATAAACCAGGAAAGTTTGATTCTGTTGAATCCAAGGTGGCCCTAGAAATTAAGGTGTGTAGAATATTGCTTCATGGTTTTATGGTTTGAACCTTTTTTGAATGAATGGCTTGTTGATACCATAGGCATATCCACATGAGGTTTTAATTCTTACAATTCCCAAGATCTCTTTAGACATTTTTAGAAATTTTCTCCTTACTGCCTGTCATACAATTCTTATGATGTTACTTTAGAGAATTTGGTATTGGATCAACTGATAATCCCCCAATTGTTATTTTCTTTACTCTCATCACTTGTCTGCTTGATATTATACTGTAATTTATTGTAAGCAGAAATTACATCTCAGTCTCTTATGGAAGTTATAGGGTCAATAGATTTTTAAAAGGCATCAACATGTACCTAACTTGGAAAATAGAGCTGTGAGGAATAAAAAAAAAATCAATAGTACAGATGAAGTAGAAAGTAAAAGTACAGCAAGTAGAATGAAAAGTATTAATCAACTTTAAATTCCCAAGGTAGCTATATATAGAAATTCATGGAAGGGTACCACCTCTTGGTCTGTTCAAAAGGTTGATAAAGTTATCCACTGAATAGATCTCTATATGTTAGATATTGCAGTATGTTTTGGTAACAATTATCTTACCACTGAATAACATTATCTACCCATAGATGTTAACTGAGCCCAAACAAACTCACCAATATTTGTTCCACTCCCAACATGTTGCTCTGTAACTTATTTGGTAATGGTGCCCAACTAGTACTTGGGAGGCAGGATTCATAGCCTGAATTTTTTCAGGCTTTTCTGCAATGGAAATTTTCTTTTCTTACTTTCCTCCACCTTGTGAGGATCATGTCTTTTCCCTAAATCCATTACTGGTAAAATTAAGCATTCAATTCCGCTAAAAATTGGGAAATGGCTGCTGCAAAAACTTTTTCCATGGTATTTTAATAACTCTATTGTTTATGATCAGCACTTGGGGTCAAACAAGGCGAAAGTAGCCCACCAAAGATGGCAGACCAGCCAGAAGTTTTGATTGGCTGGTAGCTTTTATCAACAGTTCTGTCATATTTGTATTTGTTTTTTTTATTTTATTTCTGGTTTAGGCAGCCCCACCACCTCTAAAGCGTTCCAACTCTGCCACATTTCTGCGAGCTGGCTCAAGGAATGGTCCCCCAGTCAAGGACCGCCCAACTTCTTGTGAACCAGTGGTACCTCGTGAAATGAAACTGACTGTTCCCAAAGCAACCATAGCTAAAGAGGTAAGTTCTACATCTGTGTTTACAACATAATTCAGAGTTTCTAAAGCTGGTGTCTAGGCCCTTTGCTCAAAATGTCAGTTTTCCAAACTTTTTACATTGACCAATTTACATTAACCCTTTAACTAAAGAGATCTGATTGTTAATTCTCCCCTCTACCTGCTACACATTTCCATGTAAATTAATTATGAGAACTTGATGTTAGATCAAGATAACAACTTCTACCTGATTAGTTTGAATATTCTCATTACCTGTTTGCTGGATAAAGTAGTTTCATGTTGATCACTTGTGGGAGTTTAAGGGTTAACAACTCAGGTGATAAAACCAAACTATCCACTTATACCCCTAAAGGATGCAGCCCCACAGTTTCTTTAGAAACTAATGCTTCTTTAGTTCTCCCTTTCACTGGCATAATATCAGAATCAAACTTTCCTCCCTGAACACAATACATGTTTTTGTTAGTTACCTCAATGAAGTTAGCATTATATATTTTTACCTCCAGGGATAATCTGTCTGTTTGGTAATGTATGAAAATATTGTAAAGAGAATTCTAATTATCAAATGATCACTTATGGATATGAAAGAGTGAATATACATGTATTTGTTTGGAGCTTCAGGCATTATTAGGCTGAAAAGTTGCTTATTACCCTGCAAGGGGTTCGTCAAGCCCTCTTCCTTGTTTCTTCCTCGTGAGAGACAACTGTTGTGCTCTCGGAACAATGATACAACTTTAGACATTCAAGATATACATGTAACAACAATTAGTTATTCCCTTGAAACTTAGATATCCTTACTTTTAACTATGGTAGTGTATCCATCATGTCCAATAATTTCGTTTTATTTCAGCACAAACCCCAAGTTAAAAATGTTAACCACATCGGCCAAAATGTCCGCCGAGCCCCTTCACCTCTTAGACCCCGCCCGCCCTCAGTTATCGCAGCAGAAGAATTAGCAGCCAAGAAAAAACAGCAAGAAAAGCGATACCAGAAAGGAAAAGTACCTAAATAGTGAGTGCAGTTTTACTAGCCTGCAGAATAGGCGTAATTTTGGCGGGCGAGTGTTGAGTATTATCTTGGAAAAATCATGGCTGCCATCTTTGATTTTTACAGGCTGGGAAAGGCTGGGAAAGAAATTTGTACCAAGGGGGTGAGTGACGATCAAAAGAAGGAGATGAGCGAGGGTGGGGTAATTAATATTAGTTTTTCCCCCCTTTCCCACCCCCTCCCCCCACCGTCCACTCCAGCTCCAAATCAAATATGGCGGATGGAATGAACGATCGCGAACTTAATGATGTTAACTCGCTCTAATAAGATGCTTGTACTGCAGGCTACATTTTTTTCTGTATTCATGGGTATTGATGAATAACTTGTGGGAATTTGGTTTTAGAATTTGGATCGCAGATCAGAACAATAACAAAAGTCTTGTAATAATTTAGAAGAATTTGCTTTCGTTGCAATGATGTCTGCAGATGGTTGATGTTCCAGCGTTGTTTTGTTAGGACCTCAAACCAGCGGCGTGGCTGAAAGTTACGAATGTGATTAATTTGCAGCCTGAAAGAGCGTCAAAAACAGTGGGAGGAGGAAGAAAGAATAAGAATCGCCAACACACCAGATCCAAGTATACCTCCTGGACACACTCTGATGCCCAGAGAAGAACGGCTACAGACTCTGGCAGGCCTTCAAAAAAGTAAGTTAAAGTTTATCGTTGTAATTAGGCTTAAGGCGCGTGAGATCTGCTCAAGTTTCAAACATGTGTTGGTCATGCTTTCGTGCGGGGTTCAAGTATAGTAAATCCTCTAAGGATGGAAACAAGGCTAAGGACGCGCGAGATTTGCAACTAAGATCGCGAGTTTAACAAGCGTTTGAACGCGTGGCTGACGCGCCCGTCCAATACACCCAAACCACTACGATTCGTCTACAGCCGTTGACGAATCGACACACCGGAAGTATAATCGTGCGTTAACATACCGGAAGTCGAGGGGCGTGAGCAATGTGTGAAAGTAAAAGTAGGATAAAAAGAGAAAGTGACAACGTAAACCTTCCACTTCCTCAAAGCGTAAAACGGTCGGAGGTCCATTGTCAGAATATTCTAAATATTAAAATGAACCTTTTTCCTTCCTAAAGCGTTAAATAGGGGCATTAAATGTTGACGAATCGACACGATTTGTACGGGTCGACACGACTCGTCATTAGTAATATCGATCGTCTCACCGGAAGTCGATTTGCAAAAGAAGACGATACAACTTAACTTACTCTCGGGAGAAACTCCAAGAATTGTTTCGGAGTGTATGCGTCTTGTTTTGTAAATATAAACACTGCAATCCAGGGCGTGAAATTGCGCCTAATACAGGCGCCAATGCGACTAAATTTTTCACTTTAGCGACCAAATCCTGAAAGTTAGTCGCCAAATTGGCGACTAAAACGTTTCATCATAACCTTACCAAGATATATAGTGAATTAAAAAGATTTGAAAATATAAACCCGCGGCAAACTTCCTCGTTAAGTTTGTTTCCAAAACGTAGCACATGCATCTCGATCGATAACTAAACGCCATCTTGGATTTAGATGAGCTTTAATGTTGTATATCATCCATCTTAGTGTCCACTTTGTAGCACGTTAAGGATCTTTTCCATAACTTAATTTTGGAGGGTCTCTCTAGAACGCTGACAGCATAAAGAAAGATTTTGTTTGTCTTTGAAAATGGCGACCAACTTTTTTTGAATTGGCTACCACTTTGAAGAATTTAGGAGCCAAGTGGCTCTCAGAAAAAATAATTAATTTCACGCCCTGCAATCTATTTTAACTTGTTTTTGTTTCCTTTTAAGTAACGCGATATGTCTGTTATGACCAGAGTACCAAGTTTTATTCTTTAATTTTGATCTTCTCCACACTGTGCGTAGTTCATGACCTGATATTTCAACGTAAATTATCGAGGCGCCTTCCGATCACTTTTGTCTACTTTGTAAGTCACGCAAGCGCGCAAGCGTTACGACCGATCATGTTTACGCAACGATTCAGGACAACTCGGCATCTAATCTCCTTTCAGTTGCTGTGAAAACCTTTAATCCTCAACGTAGAAGATAAACGAACGAAGTTTGAACGGTCAAAAGGAGATCTTGGTCAATTCTAAGAGTCATGCAAATGATCTATGACACGAGCGCAATTGAGCAAACACATGGATTTGCGTTGTTTTTAAGAGGTTGGTGGATGGAAGCTAGAGATAAACCCGCGGGTTTGAGGCAATTTGTGACCTCGTTGGTGTATAAACTATGCACTGATATGCTTTTTCAGCCCGATTAACGCCTGCATTTTGAGAATTCTTTCGTACAAAGTAGCGAGTTCTTGATATGCAAATTAAGTTCGAAGAGAAGGGTCTCCTCTGATCACGCTGGTATGAAAAATATTTCAGCTGAAGTTTTCATATTTTGTCTGTGAACTAAATGAATACACCTTGTAACTTATAGCAAGATAGAATCCCGTGAGTTACATTGTTACAGTCGCTGCGCGCTGGACAAAATCTTTGAAATTTACACTTTCGATCGCTGTGCGGGTGGTCTGGCCAAAAATCATTTTTGGCTTGTGGCGACGCAAAAAAGAGAATTGGAGAACAACTAAACTATTTTTGAAACATGTGCCCTAAATCCTTTTCATGGGCAAAAAATAAAAGAGAACTTTTTTCCGACGGGAAGTTGAGAGGACCGCTCTTAGTGGCACTTAAATATCACACTTATCTCGCCCTTGTCAGTAGTTTAGTTGTTAATGCGAAGGTCTCACGTACCCAGAGCAGAACTTTCTTTTCAGAACGTTCTTGGTGGAAAATTGATGTAGCGTTATCTTTTTTACTATTTTTCTTTCTTTACAGATCAAACAGAACTTCTCGCCCAACTAAACGCACTTCCCGTTCGAGTCGACACACTGAGAGTAAAGACTGCAAAAGCTGACCTTGAAAGGAAACTCGCAGAGATAGAGGGCGCTATTAAGATATTTTCTCGACCTAAAGTGTTCGTTAAAGTGGACGACTGATAACCTCTGTTTTACGATGATGAAAGAGCGAGAGAAAGAGAGAGAGAGAGAGAGAGAGAGAGAGAAATGAAACATCACTTGCGTTGTAAATATATACGTTCAGTTTGTCAAGGATTTAAAACTGGGACCTTCGTAGCTAACAAATTCTGAAAATCATAAAGACGTATTTTTTAAGAATTGTATATACTGTGCAAAGAGATATGAAAACAGAGAGTCAGTTTCGTTTGTAGAAATTAATTGATTTCACCTGCCACTGCGTGTATAAGTTTTGCGTTATGTGTGAGACAGAGGGAAACTAATTTTAACATTTATATTAGTGTATTAAACTAAAGTAACAAAGAATTTTCTATGAGAGTGAAAACTAGGAGGATTATTCATGCCTTTGCCTCTAACATTATTTAATCGCCTTCTCCGTCCACGTTTGAATGATAACGGACTGCAATTTAGCGTTCCAAATGGCTTGAAAGTTAAGAATTTGTTCATGCTTAGCGTGCGTATATCGAGTTATGGATGCACGCGGAAAGTTTGGAGAGCACGAAAAATTCTTAAAACGCACTAAAAAAAGTAAACAAACGTCCCTATTGGCTGGTCAAAAACACGCCACATTTTATACTTTGGTTTGTGCGGGAACATTTGATCCAGTCAACCGATAACTGTGAATGAAAAGCTCAAAATTTACGAGGAAAATGGAGAAAATCAGAGCCAAATGAACTCAAGTGTCACTGAAAAATGTTTTAAAAGTCAAAGACCCGAATTTATCAAGGGTTTTGATTGTTTAAAATCATGTTTACGTTGCCGTGCACGGTGCAATTGGAGAAGCCAGACTGCAGGAAACTTGCTTGTTGGATCAGGACCTAAAAGGTCGATGCTGATAGAAAAACTGGGCAGTTCTTCGCTGGTTTCTTCCATATTTCAAAGAGAAGGAAGATTACACTGCAGCTTAACTGGACGGAAACTCTGAAGCAAGGTAAAAAAAATGCCCACGTCATCTTATTTACGCACGGCTCAATAGGATTCGTATAGGGCAAGCACGTGCGCTGTGTTATAATGTGTGTTAGATTCCTTACGCGATTTCCCTCGCCCACTGTCACGTGAGGAGCACGCACTTCTACACTCCAGAGATCTCTGAGTCATTTTCCTTGCTGGCTGCCATACAATTTTTAATGACGTTGGTTCCGAGAATTGATATTATGTCAACTAACATCCCCTTTAGTGAAATTATTCATTTGTCTTCTCGATCATTTATATTTATATTGCTCGGAGAAATTCTGTCTTGATCACTCATGTGAGTGAAAGATTAAGTGTCGATCCCTTTCCCCGTAGCAATTTGTAGATTTCCCCACGATGGTTTTAATAAGACGATCGATCATATTGGAACAGCCGGCAATTTCCGAAAATCGCCTGACTCAGAAACTCGTCCTTGGCACTCCTCGGCTGTACTACTAGCCGGAAGGATTATGTTACTGAGACGAGCATTTCTATTCTTGGTTCCCAGTCAGGGGTGGTCACGTCATTAGCGTGCTCAGGAAGTTCTGAAGCCAGAAAAGCAAATGACATTGGCCGTTTTTATGCTCGACTTTAACGTCTTAGACAACTTTAACGTCTCTAGCATAAAAACGGCCATTGTTTGCGTTTTTCAAGCGAATGCAGGTGGCACGAAGTAGTTAAGAAACTTTGCGTGAGTTGCGCCGAGCGTTCAATTTGGCTTCTCGGTTGAAAAAAAGCGAAAAAGTATCCTCACGCCCTAACAGCCTTAAGCCGTGTTTGGAACAGGCAAGTTCTTGAGTAAGACCCTACGTTCTGTTTGCCAACGAAAGAGAAGTCACGCGGCAATGTCTTATTGAAATGAAGGGAGTAAGTTTCTAAAGAAACTGCGGTGCTGCGTCGCTGAGGGTAGTAAAAAATAATTTGGTTTTATCTACCGAGTTGATGATGCGTATGAATAAAGCCGATGTCTCTAGCGTTAGTCCTCCATCATTCGCTCTTATTTCATGGAATCCAACTACTGAAACATTTCTTCGTTTCATGTCACATGTGCAACGTTTGCTTTTTTAAGAATTCAGAGCAAACAAGAGAAAACGATGTCCCTCTATTTTCTCTTACGTGGAAGATAAGTCGCTCGAACGGATGTCATGGCTTTTTAAGTATTTCGCCCGGCTGAAAAATGGTAGCCATTCAGAACTCTGTTCGTGAACAGGAACACTCATTTTGTGATCCCGTGAAAGGTCAATTGCATATAGATAGCACTTCCTCGATTCTTTTTCAACCACAAAGCAGATGTTTTAACAAATAATTAGATTGCGAAATGTCGCGGTTAAGAGATTAAACATCCTTCATTTTGACGAGATAGTAGGGAAATCAATCTGATATCGTCGACCGGTTCTGAATAAAAAATGACTCCGCGGAAACTGTTCCGCCGAAAATAAATACCAAAAAATTTTAAACCAGAAAATTACTTGCAATCGTGTATCAGTATCAGTTACGTGATTTGAGATCAAAACTGAGAAATTGTTAGAATATTCTTCATACATAGGAATCGAGCCCAGCGTCAACATAAGCGTCGTTATGTAATTCGTGAAGTACAAATGATCCAAACTATATTGCCCACAAAAAACAGAGACAAACTAACGTTTACGGTAATTTACAATTAACTCACCCTTCTATGGTGAGTGTTCTTGTGTCTTTGAGTAGAGTCAGCATATATTTAGACACAAACTAAGCAGTCGACATTGTGATCTTATTAGTAGGGTTGTAAAGGAACTTGATAATTTCGTTTTACCAACGCAGTCATAATTTATAGTGGCCAAGGTAAAGAAACACATATGTTCCAAACTATTTAAGGACATATGTATATAGGGGGTACGTTTCGAAACTGTAGAGCTGCGTCAGTGCGGAAGTGCAACAAGGTAATTTCTTTTTATCAGCTGAGTTAATTGATAATGTAAATTGACCACTGTAAAGAGTTTCTAAGCGTTAGCCCTTCGTCGAAGCGAAACTGCGAAGGAACGCGGCCCTAGAATTTACCTTAAAATTCTCAACATATCAAGTAGTTAAGTATCAAGAATGATACTTAAGTTATAGCTGCTTCACTTCGCAACAGAAATTAAACCACGTGCTGGAAAAAGACGTTAATACATTAATGCGACTCCTGTGAGCCAGAACATTTAAAAGATTGTATTACATTACCGACTCAGTTGATAAAATCCAATTATCTTTGAAAGGTTAATTGAGTGCGTAAACGGCCTCTTTTTCAGTTTCAATTGGGAACATTTGAGAGTTGAAATATTTTGCAGGTTCCGTGTCACAGGTGGTTTTTTTAGTTAATTTAATTACATAGCTATAGATTGGGAACATAACATTGGGAACATTTGAGAGTTGAAATATTTTGCAGGTTCCTTGTCACAGGTGGTTTTTTTTGGTTGATTTAATTACATAGCTATAGATTTAAGGCGAGACCTAGACCAACAATAATCCAGAAGAAGACAAAATTTTACAAATGTTATCTAATCTTCTTCAGTGGGCTTGACTTTCTTTTGGAAAGACGCCAGGTCGATGTTGAGTTCCACTTCTTCCTTTGCGCCCAAACAGGTTTAAAAGCTTAAGAACTTTTCTACATATTTTATTGCCAGCTTAGCTAGGTAGTCCGCCGTAATACTCACTGAGGGGAGATCAAATCATCCCGTAACTGGGCAAAGGATCCTTTTTCACCGAGAAAAATCAGCAATTTAAAAACATCCGGCACGCGGGGTCAGGTGATGATTGATAGATAGATAGATATACATTGATATATAAGAAGTAGTCGGATTAATTATTGAGCATGCCCCCTACGAATAGAACTGAGTCTTAAATACTATAGACATAACGACATTCCCTCGCACTATTGAGTGAACCCTTCGACAGGAGACTGCGGAAGAACACTGGTAAGCTTAAGTATGAGATTCATTTTACCATAACAAGGACAATTCGATATATCAACGACCGGTTGGCATCAGTTTCTCACTTTTTTATATTCTTTTATTGTTACCCTATCATTAAACACGTAGTTATAAATTAAGAGTTTTTCGGTTTTGCATGGTTGAAGGTGTTATTTCGTTTTGAAAATTTACTACTTCTCTTTATGCTAAGTGTCACATGCTGAGCATAATCAGCGGAAAGGGAAGAAAACTTGGGAATTACTGACGAAAAAGACAGTAATTCGAGCAAAAATGAAAAAAAATCGCAATTTTAGACAACTTTTGCTTACTGTGAGTGTTTGCTACGCACTGGAAACGAGCAATATGATTTTTCTGTTGAGGGTCATCAAACACTGTACGCTGAATCAAGATAGCTCACCTAAGATCGATCACAACGTTTTAATCGTTTCTCTGGCATAAAATTCAAGGGAAAGTTGCTTTCATAAGCGTTAAAAAATTCCCCTTTCGACGGAACAGTTAAGAAGCCAGCCATGCCTTTTTCCGACCAGTTTCGATGCATTAAGGCTAAGCAAGCGCAAAGATAAGATACTCTTTCGTTCACCGTTCGACTAAAGAACAGTCAGATTCACCATCTATGTGGCGTGTGGCGTGTGGCGTGTGGCGTGTGGCGTGTGGCGTGTGGCGTGTGGCGTGCTGAGTAAAGAACGCTTGAGTCAGCGTTCGAGTTGGACTTTGAGTTACCTGTTGAGTCAATTATCAAATGATTCAATTTAAACACAAGTCAATTATTCAGCTCTTTCCTCAAGTAAATGATAAATTTGTGCAATAAATATTCCTCACTTAACAAAAAAAGAGAAATCTTTACGAGCACTGATCAAGAAACCGAGTTCGGAAACAGAAAAAACTTATCTCAGGTTCGAAAACAAAAGTAATATCGCAAAATGAAACAAATCTGACCAGTGAGAAACGGTAGAACATTTGATCCTGATAGTAGATATCCTCAAGAGAAAATGAGGGATATTATTTTTTTGTGGTATTCTCTGATACAAAAACAGCTCGAAGTTAAAAAATGATTTAAGATTTAGGAAGTAGAAGATGTAAATGTACATGCCTTCATTCCGCGATCCGCCGAGAGTGGAAAAAAAAGATTTCTGAAAACGAAAAGCCGTTAGACTACTCGAAACAACTCTTCGCCGTGAAAATGCGAAGAGAGGGTAACTACCATTTCAGAAGTAAAATTTCAAAAGAACAAAGTCGGCTCTAAAACTGAAATGAACCTGTCACAGTTTAACTTAAGGAAACCAATATTTATGTGCATAAAGAAAATCACCCTCTCTGTGACACGGAGTAATTAAAATTTTATCCCTCCCAAAGGAGAAGAAACTTCTCCAAAGAAAGGAGCCATAAGCGGCAGAGTTTCGGATTTCCGTCGCCGTTTGATGCTCTCAAACTAATTTGGAAAACGCGTTGGTAAACTAACTTGCAAATATTTACCAATTATTCGAGTTGTGTGTTTGTTGAGTTCGACAAATCATACAGAAAGTGTCGCACTGTGCTCAAATGGATAATTTCAAGAGAGTAGTAAGCTATGATTAACTAAAGAGATTTTCAAATGCTCATTTATCGGAACGAACTTTGACGTTTAAGGGGGACACAAGCTTCAAACAAAAGATATCCGAGAAGAGGAATCGAAACTTAAGACTGTCGTATTTCGAGGTGCGATGCTGTACCACTGAGATACTGAAAAATCGTTGGTTCTAAAAGTAGAATGAGGGTTTTTTAATTGCCCCGTTCGAGTTGCAAAGAGCCGTCTAAATGAGCTGTTCTGAAAAAATCCTAACAGGAAGCGAAACTCTTTCGTATGTCAGTAAGATGATTATAAGTTCTTCCGCTCGTGTATTACGCCTAAGCAGTCCTTTTTTTTATTTTTTTTCCTATCTTACATAATTCAGTTCTGAGAGGTTCTTCCCCGACAGCTGTCACTTTTTAGATACTTCCTTCAAGCCTGCAAAGCCGTTTTCTGATAACAAGGAATTTTCTTGAAACAGCTGGGTAGCTCTCTTATCTTTCTTTTTGAAAGTGAAATTTAGAATTTTCCGTTGCGGAAAGACTTGCTTGTTTAGCAATATTAGCCTTGAAATATATTTAGTACTAATTAAAAACCGATGCTACTTGGATATAAAGGAGTAGGAGTATTGTCGCTCAATTTAGCAGATAATCCGTCTGTGTCAAATGCGTAGGCGTATTAACAATTCTAGTTCGAACTGACGTAAAAATTATCCGGTTTTTAAGGAAATGCTTACAAGCTATTATTTATCTGAAAAATTCCGCTGTAAATATGAAGCGGTAAATTCATCGCAGGTGATTCTCCTACACTTCAGGGGCGCTACAGTTGTGTTCAGAGGTTCGCAGAATTGTACAAATGAAGCCGTTCCGTACTTCAGCTTCCTCAAACAGAGGACAAACAATTGCAATCCATCAACATCAGATGAATTAGCGTGGCTCTTGTTGACAGCTAGAGTAATTTTACCTTTTGAAATACGAAATTGTTTTTTTTGTCAATAACCTTAACTGAGATAATGTTCTAATCTCCCATTCTTATTCCTTGTTGGTTTATTTTTTCCGCGTTTGTATTTTCGTTTCTAAAAAGATTAAAATTAATTTTGTCGTCTCCAGCAAGTTCAAAATAGTTTTTCCACGGCGGCAAAAAATTTGACTCAAGTTGGTCTCTTCCAATATAAAATCCGTAGCCTGATCTCGCCTATCGTCAATCAAGCTAGCTTATGATGTTTGGAGCGCCTGTCTTTCGTCATTCGCTCTGACGAAGGGCAAACGCTTGAAACTTTAGCTTAAAAAACCCTCAGTCACGCCGGCCAATTTATATTATCAACTCAGTTGATAAAACCAGGTTTTTTTGTAAAAACCTCCCACCAACGCAGCACCACAGTTTCCTTAGAACAGAACTTACAGTCCCTTCTCCCTCGTTCTTGTCAGGCGTATTCGCACTATTCAACAATTTGACGTTGTCAGCTGTGACAAACGAAGTTAAAGCTTCACTTTGAGTTAAAACATTTTGTACTCCAAAGATTCAAATATCAGTTGTCTGCGCTGTTAACGATACATTCTTATTATTTACGACTTGAGAATTTGCTGTGAAATCAAACCATATCCCTCGTTTGATACTTCTCTGTATCTTTCCCACCATTTGCCTGAAAAAAATTCGACATCATCAATAGAAATCATCAGGGGAAAAATCTCTAATCAACTCTGAAGGTGAAAGGGTCAAGAACATTTCCCATAGTGCACGCCAAAAATATCAATTCTATCAACTGGTAACAGCGTCGCTGAGTGTTGTGTGGGAGAATTTCATGCTGCATCGACGAGTTACTCCACGCGACACGATACGTACATCAAAAATGGAGCAAAGAAAAATTACAAGTTGACATATGTCCGTACCATCAGAAAGTTACCCATTTACAGAACGCCCTTCTTTTGCACCCAATTCTTTATTTTGTTGACAACATTATGGTGCAGTGCTAATTAAGTCATGTTATCTTTCTCAGATCATTTTACAAGATGTTGATAAAGTAAAATGTTCTCCTGGGTCATGGAAACGCAAAATAATGTAAAGCATTCGCAACGGCTAATCAGGATAAAAGAAGATATCAAAAAGAGACAAAGAGTACTTTTATCTCTCATTGTTTCTTTCTGATAAATCGTCGTAGAATGTCGTAAGCGCGGGAAATCGCGGGTTAATAGGTCGTGACTGATTTTTGTTTTTCATATGATTGGTTGAAAGGATGGCGTGACTTTTCTAGACCAGTCACAGAGCGGAGTCAAAAGGCAAAAGCAGTAAAGTCCCAGATTTCTTTTGACACTCGATCGAAGATTGTTTATCAACGATCGATTATGGAACACACCCAAATAAGTTCTGATAATGAAAATTGGAACAAGTACAATAACGGATGGAAAAGAGAACTTTTAAAGCTTCCTTGAAAGCGTTGCAAAGAAGTGGGCAGTTTTCTTCTTTAAAAAAATTCGTCTTAAATAAATGTAGTGATATGTAGGTGTTTTCAAAAATATCCTATTTAGCTAATCGTATTCCTTGTTGGGATAAACCATTGTCTCAAAGCATAACATACAACTGGCAGATTTTAAAATTTTTCAGAATGTCAAATGTCTCAGAAGTTAAGGCGAATCTTCGCTCAAGCTTAGGAACCATGTTACATTTCTCGCTGCTTTCGTGGATAAAAAATACTGTAACCGTTGTTAAATTTGTTTAAAAATGGAACTCACATAGAGACCCGACAGGAAACATTAACAATCAAAACACAATTACATTCACGAACAAAGAGAGACACTTGTTTTTGTTTTATGATAATGTTTTAAAAATTATAGTCCAGAAAACATCATCACCAAAAAATGGATTTCAGTTTTTACTTCAAAGTTCCCATTTATATTCTTAAAAAGCTAAGGAGATCGTAAGATAACCTTGGTAAGGTTCTAAAACAGGAAAACTTTTTCTGTTGCTATATCAAAATTAGAAGCCTGGTAATTTGTGGTGAAACGCTTTGTTAGACTTCTCCGTGGGTCTTCTGGAATCGTGCAGATTCTTACCGGGTTTCTCTTTGCATAAAAGAAAAAAGGTTAAACATATGCAAATGAGTTATTTCCTCAAAGTTTACTTCGCTTTAACGTATTTTGTACAAAACCGATTTTCCAGTTGACTGCCCTGTCACGTGACATTATCGAAGAGAGTTAATGATACGCGAAATTCACGCCTGAAAATCTCGAACCAGTCCTTTCCGGCTTTAACTGCAATGAACGTTACGAGAAAAATTATATATTTTTTTTCAAGTAAGTCGGTGTAGTTCTGTTTAAATCAGATTGGAAATCATATTAGCTTATGACTTTCTCAAAAGGCTTATCTGGTGCTATGATGCTTTATTAAAATGATAAAAGACAGGCACTTTCTTGAAGATATCAATCAAATTTCAAGCGGAATCTCGAAACTTTACATGAAACATGGCACCTTGTTCAATTTCCGAAGTGTATATGGCTCTAAGCACAAAAAAAACACGTCTTTGTGTGCTTCCTTTAAACGTATCTAAGCAGCAGTTAAAAGGTTGAATTTGTATCATAATGAAACAGCAAATTCAATCTACTTATCCAGGCTACAGAATCAGACACAATAGTTGTTTCCGATAGCCTCAAAACATGCTCTTCGGTGTGTTGTGACTTAAAAAAAGTAAGATGTATCAGAAATGTCTCCTCTCATTTTGACGTTCGTGTTATTGCTGCAGAATCAGTTTGAAAGTAAGATATATCGTTCTCTATCATTCATGTTCCCTTTTTGATTTTTTAGTTCACTTGGCCGTTTAATGAAAATAAACACGCTTTGAGGTTGTGTTTTAATCAAAAGAGAATTTACTCATAACGGACTAGCGAAAAGAACAATGAATTCTATTTATTTCTGTACCTCATTACTCATGCAGATATATGCTTCTTTTTCAAAAACGGAACTCTCTTTTTTGAGAAAGGACACATATTTTAAAATCATTAACATCTTTTAAAACGCAGTTTCGTCTCACTGTAACGAGTTATTTAAATTGACGCTGTGTCGTCAAAAGAAGGTTGCATGTTTTTGTAGGGATAATCTGTGAAATTCGTTCACCAAATCAGCTGCAAAGGTGTCACATTGAAACTCTTACGTTCAACCTTATCTTTCAGCTACATGTGGCCCATTGTTTCGATGTAGTTTTCACATAATCGCCAGATGGCAGCTAATAAAATTAGCTTTTCGAAAACCACAACATCATTGGTTATTCACGCTATCTGCGAGGAAAACCCACTCGGAGTTGAGCTGTGTAAGTTGGAACAGTGGGTGTGGAAAGCCCAGTGAGGCTCTTCCAAGATTGGTAGCCGTATATTTGCTTCTTTTCGAGTCGAATTCGTTAATTTCTGAGCTTTTCATACGCACAATACTTCACGAAGGATCGATCATTAATATGGTAAAACACACACGACTCTGACACGTCTAATTCTTGTAGGATCCACAATCAGGCATGAATTAAGAGATGACAACAGGCGTTACTCTTGAATAAGACCCAACGTGTAAAGAGTTAGGAAATCATTAGTATGTCACCAATGAACCACTAATTAGAGACGTGAGTCTGTAATCACTCATGGAGTCTGCTTGTGCCGTCAGAGTATTGTATGAAATTTCTATAATCAATTACCCCGGCGCCAGGTGCAATTCACAAATGTTACTGGGTATGCCTCCTGGGCCAAGTTCTACCTTTGTCCAACCTTAAAAGCTTCGTACCAACAGCTATTGTCTGTTAACCACTGGGAGAACGTCACGAGAAAGCCGTTTTTCGACGGATTGTGAACCGCAGAAAGAGAAAAAAACACTAACCCTTTACCGATTTATGAAAAGAAGCTGGGATTCTTGCGCATGCGCATAAATTAGTTAAGACACCGTTGATCGTCAGAGTGTTTACACTTTTAGAGAAAGAAGATTTGCCAAGGCATCTAAAGGTGAAGTGATTTTCACCAAGGGTGTCTCTACTAAATATTTTTCAAACCGTTATCCGATCGTCAAGGCCCCGCTCAGTCTGACCTTTTCAAACATGCAAATTTCAACCAACGGGGTAATTTTGCAAAATTAGACGAAATTGACGGTCGTAGCTTGAGTGTACGGTTTCCAATTATTACCAGAAACGGGATAGTTTCCAAGAGAAAGGATGTCATAAAAGCATGTTTTTGATATGACACTCCTCGGTTTCATCTTGGGGAAGCGCTATTGAGGATCAAACGCAGCTAATTTTGGCTTTGTTGGTTAGCTTGTTAGCAGAACGGTGTTTTTTAAAGAGCCCATCGATCTTTGTTATCTAACGTGCAGAATTAATGATTAGATAGCACGTGCTTTATTTAACAAGAATTTGCATTGTGAATACCATTATGTGCTTGATTTACTTGTCTTTAAATTCGTGAAACGATGAGTACGGATTTATTTTTTTTCCCGAGGCGTGCCTAGTCCAAGTCTTTGTTTACCTGTATTTCTCTTTGTGACCACGTGCGAATTACAAATCCTACAAAACTGGCCTGGCGTTTAAGAGTTTAAAGTTAAACACAGCCAGCCTTCGAAAGCGCAAGAACACCTTAACATACCAACCGCACAATAATTTGCGCCTTGGTTCAGCATAAACAGGTAAGAGGGCGTTTATCTGCGTAAATTACATCTAGACTTTAGAAAAAAATATTAACAGGTAAGGTTTGATAAATTAATTACTGCGGGTACTTTTTGATCATTTCACGTCTGCAAGAACCTGTTATTAAGTTTTACTTTCCATAGGAATCGCACAACGCTTGAAAAAAAATAATAATAACCAAATCATGGCTGAAACGCTCGTTAAATTTATTCGCAACCTAGCTCTGACTTTTTGTTTATTTATCATAAAAGTATATCATGTCTTTTCTTTCAGGTTGCTTCAGAGATATTTCTTGGCAATGAGCGCTCAGGAATCAAGAAGGGGTCTTTTTCAAAGCCAATCGCAAGGAAAGAAATTTAGCTCCATAACCTCCAAGAGTTTTATGAAGCAAAGTGGAGGAAAGCACACAAATGGGAAATCGTTGGGCGTGCAGCTGGAAGATAAAAACTCCAAACTGTTGACAAATGCCATACAAAGTGATTCAAGGGGAACAAAATGGGCAAAAACTCATGGCAATGAATGGCAAGCAAAGCGGAGGACGCGTCCGAGTGGGGTTAGAACAACAAGACAAATCAGGCGAAACGAGAGAGAAAGAGGGAGGAAAGCAAGATTAAACGCGGCCTTTCAAGTCCTTCGTTCAGTTGTACCAAGTAACGTGAATTCTTCTGGAGGTGTCAGCGAACGAAAGATGACTCAAGTTGAAATCCTACGTCTGGCTAAAAATTATATTTCGAACCTTACGGAACTACTCGACAAAATCAAAGAAGAAGAGAAGTACTCTCTTCGAGCTTTCAATGCTTAAATACTTTTATTGTTATCGTGATGAGATTCCTCCCGTCACTTTGGTAATTTTGGTTTTTAAAACTACGTGAATGCAACGAAAAGCCAGCGATTAGAAATTTAGAAATACAAAATGCTGAAGCAAAAACACCTCTGGTTAATTTGAAGTTCACCGAACAACTGCAACGAGAACCCCTTGAGACTTCACTCTCGGCAATCTAATTAGCATGTTGCAATGTGACAGTTGTATCCCCTTTTTGTTAAGTGACAATGAGATGATATTGTTTTAGAGTGTTTTCTCGCAGAAAATAAAGCTGTGAAAATTTCCCGATTCGGGGACTTAAACGCTGTACGAGCAAGTGCTTTTTTTACACATTGTATTATATATTGCAAACAACAACAAAAAAATAACCTGCCAAAATGAACTTGCAAAATATTACACGCGAAACGGTAAAAGTGCCACACAGGATTGTATTCGTCCTTGTCTGGTGAATATGAGTAAACACTTCATAATAAAGTCAAATGGTTGACAATGCGTTTAAAGGACTTGTACAATCTCCTTTTGTTTAACCACGAACTAACGAAATTAACTTAAGAAACAAGAAAAGAACTGCTCTGCGGAAGAGAATCGCACGCTTCGTTGGGAAGAGCTTCGTGTTGGTCCTTCCAATTGGTCATGTTTTGTATCATTATTTCATTATTGTTTTTAACCGCTTTTACAGTTAAAAAAAGATGATCCACAATTTACAAGTCGTGAACAAAGGATTGAAATAGATAGGGCAAGATTGAATGGTAACCGAGTGGAAAGAATGTGCTATTCTAAAGATTTTGTTATTCGTGGTTTGGGCGGTCACTATCGCTTCAAGATCATTGACCGATTACTGCCAAAATTAAATGACGACCTGGATGCGAATTCACTCGATTAAGTCAAATTTTACCTTCGCAACCGGGAGAACTAACAAAATATTTTGCTATCAACATGTTTTAATTAATAACCAGCGGGAAATATGAGATTTAAAAGAGTTTAACAATGCAGTTGATAGGAATCGCCCAACTTGTATTTTCTGAAAGCATTTGTCTTCAGCCAAATGTTGCTATCATCTTTTAAACAGTGTCTTTTATTACTTGACACTTCGATGTCCTCTCATGAGGAAAATCTAAAGTTTCCCTTTACATCGATATCTTTTCATAGATAACGTCGTCAGTGCCTTCACACTTGCTAAGAATATATTGGCTTGGGCGCATGAAGATCTACGGACTGAGAGCAAAGTTTTCTGCAATACTTCATTGTCAAATTCACATCAACATTTGTAAATAACACTTTACTTACACTGAAATATGATGGTCTTTTCCTTTCAGCGAATGGGTCATGTGGATAATATTCGTAGAACGGTCTTCGGTTTAAGTTCATTTCCTAAGCTTGATTATTGCCCAAAAAAATATTTAACCAATCAGATTGACGTTTCTAAATTATTAGTGAATCGAAACGATTCGAGTTTCTTCACTCGAGCGGTTTTCCCGCGCATATTAGGCGCCGAGTACATGATTTCCCGCTTAAGCCTCTCAGTTAGGTATCTTCCCGAACTAATAAGGCGCCGGTTGCATGTTTTCCCGCGCTCGGCTGGCGCCATGACTATTTTTGGTTGGCTATGATTAACAAATATAGAAGTGTTCCTCTTTCAGCTTCTCAGAAATTATGGTGACATGACCTCACCAAGATACCAGTACTCATAAAGAAAAAAAAAAAAAAAGATATACCAGTCGATTTTCTCAGTTTAATTTAACGAATTGAATCGAAAAAAAGAAGATCTAAGATCCTTTTGAAACCAATTCCTATTTCGAGAAACGATAGTTATCAATGGGTTTTCCTTTAAAAGAAAGTATCATATTTCCCCTCAACACAGTCGCTGCATGCTACAGCGGTAAAAATATCTGTTACCTCAACAACAACTACGAATAGTTAATCAGGCTTACACCGTCAAATGGACAAAATATTTTATCGCCAACAGTCAATTGCTATCATGGATAGCAACAAGAAACAGAGATGCTATAAATTATTTTCATTCAAGTATTATATGATGGTATCGGGCCCTTTTTTTTTTCTTGTGACTCAAAAGATGTTGTTTCAGGCAATGCGGATAATTAATCTCGGTTTTCAGGAAACCACATGATGCCAGTTGGATTTGATAAAAAAAATAATGAAAAATGGATGTAAAAGACCAAACGGAATGAGAAAGGCAAAGGAAGGTGAGGATTCACGCGGATTGAGATTGGAAAATTGAAAAATATGCTAAATGATTCACAAATCCTAAAATGTATCATTTAAAAACTTACCCACTCTTCCTGTGTAGAAACTGCCCTTTCTGGTGACTCATGTTTCAGTTTTGTTTCCTTAAATTTATGTGTTTTTAGTTCAAAATAATATCGAAGAGTTTTTACAATCTTAAATGCGATTTATGAGAAAAGATGTTTTAACCCTTTAACTCCCAGATCAAATTTGTCATTCTCATTACTGTCAACCATATAATTCTTATAATGTTAGTTCAGAGAATTTAGTATTGGATCAACTAATTATCCCCAAATTGATATTTTTCTTTATTCTCATCACTTATCTAGTTGATATTGTATTGATATTGTAAGGAGAAATTCTATCTTGGGCACTCATGGGAGTTAAAGGGTCAATCTGAAATGTATGATTTCTTTTCCCCACTAGGATCGTTTGACACTTCCTTAATTTCCTAAAAACACCTGACAACTCCTGAACCTTTTCGAAGAAGTTCTCATAACTTTCGAACGTTGCCAAAAACGTTTGAGTTACGAATGTTTTGGACTCAGTAGTGGCATTTATTGCCCTTCACTGGTCTATTTCGGATGGAAATAAATCTCAATTTAAGGTTCCAGAACAACATATAGTTCAGAATAGCTGGTTTTGCATTGTTGAATTGTCATGCATGTCAGTGATCGATGTTTTCAATCCGCAGGCGTGTGGCACATGCTTAATTCGTGTGAGAAAAAAAATCTTTAAATCAGAAGAAAATCCCTATTCCCCCCTCCTCTTGCCTAATTTGGAGAGAGAAAATCTCTTCAAGTTCAGTTTTGATGGCTTTGCATTGTCATCTTCAATGGGTATTTATTTACAAAAAAAATCGAGTTTCGATTAATTGGTCGAGAAAACTCGTACAAAATTCTCAACCAATTAGATGGTAAAATAAAACGAATCACGACTGGATCACTGGCGTTTTCTCGCGCTTTCGGCAGTTTATAGGGGGTTTATTCTGAATTCTGGCAGTGAAGGGTCTGGCCCAAATATTTGCTCACGCTCTTCGCACAGGTAAAGCTTTCAAAAGAGTGCGATGTCGTAATCTTTACCCAACGATGGTGTAGCACTCGAAAATAGTATAATGATGTCACAAAATGGTGACCAAAAAAATCCTTTCCGTTGAATGGTACCCGGATTGAGAGGAGAAATTAGCCGGACTATCAATGAGACACTGGAAAGCTTACTCACAAAGAATTTCAGAATATGATCAGTTACGCACTTACCCCTCCCCCTGCCATGTTTAGGTTAGGGGAGGGATGGGTGCGTATTTTCTCAGATACTGAAGATATCGGGCTGTATGTAACGGGCGAAAGACAGACGAGCATTGTTGTGAGGCGAAGATGGAACTAAATACCTTCTTTCAAAGGAACTCTTCATTCTCTTATCGAGTGACTTAGAAAATCTTGTGCGCACGGAAATGTGTCAGAAGCATCTTTACCATCAGATTACAAGATTATCGAGAAGAAAGAGGGTTTTCCAAAGTAACAATAACTGTTCAAACAGCTAAGAGCAAGGGTTACAAACTAGCGGGAAACGGCTGTATTCAAAAGTGAATTGTGGCAGGAATAGGGTATAATTTAATTTCACGCTTTATTTTTCGAAAGGAAACGCAAAACACTTGAAAAGTTTCATTAAGAAATATAAATATAAATAGCGACCAACGGCAGATTTCTCAGACAGCCGAGTTGAAAAGAAAATAGTCGTCGTTAGGTTTTTTCGCGTCATGCAATTGACAACTGATAACTCACTACTCTATTCTAAGTTTAACAAAGTTTAAAGAACGAAACACGAGTGAATAATAAACTTTTTTCTTTTTGTGTTCTGAGAATATTGTACGTCCGACGGCAAAGAAAAGTGACGGAAGATACTCAACAGCGAGGTAGAATTGACACAATGCCAACTCTTATCTCGTTAGTGCCTCACACCCGTGCAAACAAAAAGTATCAACAGTTTAGTAAAAGTGCCATTAATTGGGTATTATATCGACAGGTAGTTGGGAATCTTTCTCCTGGATTGCGACTAAATACTTGACAAAAGACAGGATGTAAATGATCTCGTTTCGTGATTGCCCACGATTTAATAACCACGTGGCAATGGAAAAAATATAAACAATAACTCTATCGAAATTAGTGTCGTATTAAGTCCGCGCGCAAAAACGTCAAATCAATCAATGTCGTGCTTACGTCACATCACGGAACTTTCAAGGGGTTTCTTATTCAAGTAATGCGTTCTATTAACGTCATATTTACAGTGAAATTAAGCACGCCTGTTTTGTTTCCTTCTGGAAGTGATATGCAAAAGACTTAGACAATGTTTTATTGTTTTAATTTATGTTTACTCACTGCTAACTCACTCCTCTAAAACAATGCATCAAAGTTATGTATTGTTTTTGCAAATAAAAGCGGTTTGAACTGAAGTTTACGAACTCCATCATAAACGCAAATTTTCTCTCTTTTAATTAAGTTGTATTTAGAAAATTTACTTTTAAAGATAACGCATCGAAGTTGTAAGCTAAAACTGGCGTTGCATTCTTTATTTGTAGGAAGATATCAAAAGATTTTTCACCGATCGAGGACGTACTTTACTGTCTTACCGTACTTTGTATTTTGAATGACAAGCCTGAATGTAATACAATTTCCTACAATCTTCCTGTCTTTTCTTTACGACACGATTCAAAGCATACTTAATATTTCGCTTGTTTGTGTTGCCATGATGTTGTCTGTTTGTTGTGAGATGTGGCTCCTAAAAGCTCAATTTAATTTTCGTATCTTTGCCCGGTTATCGCTATTCTCCGAATAAC